TTTTTTTTTTTTTTTTACCTTTTTTAGGGCGTTCCAATGAATTCACTCAGGTTTCTCTTTGAAGGTCAGAGAATTGCTGATAATCATACTCCAAAAGAAGTGAGTATAATTTCCTCTCTGAATCAATTGTTTAAAATTCTTCCTTCAATAATTTGTCCCACTATATAGTTATTCAATTGCCCTTTTCTGGTATATCTTTTGATTGTTGTGCTATATTATTTGTCAGAAAAAATAATCATTTGGGTTGAACTTTCAATATATTGCATACAAAAGTGCCGATAGGAAGGGAGGTGGAAATAGATTTGAGTACTGAAATTGTCCTAAGGCCCAGAGGTCCGTTCTCTCTCTCTCTCTCTCTCTCTCTCTCTCTCTCTCTCTCTCTCTCTCTTTCTCATTTGAGATAGGGTCTTACTGTATATCTCAGGGTCTCACTGCTCACTATGGCCTTGAGCTCATAGCATTTTGTTTGCCTCAGCCTCCCAAGTGCTGGTGTGACAGGTGTGCACCTGCATTCCTGGCATACTTGTGTTCTTTTTGACATTTTTCTATTTTTGTGTTTATTTTGTGATACTTTTTTTTTTTTTAAATTTTATTTATTTGTGTGTGTGTGTGTGTGTGTGTGTGTGCCCAGCTCAGCCCACCAGGGGGCGAGGCTGGCTGGCATGTGGTGCTGGGGGATTGAACCGCTGTCCCTCTGCTTTGCTAAGCTTGTTCTAAGTAGGTGCTTTAGACCACTGAGCCATCTCACCAGCCCCTGTGATACTTTTCAACTGACAGCAAAGTTACAAGAATAGTGCAGAAATTTCCCATTATTCTATTCCTACATTCATCTGTTTTTATCATTTTGCTATCATTTATTATCTTTTTTTTCTTTTTATGTATGTATGTGTTGTGTTTGTTTCTCCTCCTGTTCCCAAACCATATGGAGTAGGTTGTGTATAGCATGACCATTTATTCTCCTTAGTGTTTTGCTTATTTGGTTTTTGAGGCACTAGGAATTAAATCTAAGAGAGTCTATCCTGAGTCACAGTCCTAGGATTCCCCCACCCCTTTTTAACTTTTTACTTTGAGACAGGGTCTTGCTGAATCCCTAAGTTGGCCAGGTTCCCAGAGTGCTGCCATCATGCCTGGCTTAGTGTATATTTCCTTAAAAAAACCAAAAAACAGCTATTTCATATAGCCATAGTACTATATTAATCACAGGGAATTTAACTCTATTAGAACACTTTTAACCTACAACCTACTTTTGCCATTTATCCCAGTTACACCTTTTTTTGAGACAGGATCTCAGTAGTCCAGGCTGGCCTTAATTATGTAGCTCAGCGTGGCCTTGAACTCTGTCAATCTTCCTGCCTCAGCATCCTGAGTGTTGGAATGATAGGTGTGTGCCACCACGCCTGGCCCAATTATGTTTTTTTTTTTTTTGGTACCAGGAATCAAACTCATGATCTCTAGCTTGCCAGGCAGGTGCCATGCCACTGAGCTATACTCTTATCCCCAGTTATGTCTTACAACAAAGTTTCTCCTCCATCCCAGAATCTAGTTTAGCATTATGTATTTTATTTAGCTGTTTCTTGCTTATTTGTTTTTTTTTAGGGTACTGGGAATTGAACCTATAGCCTCAGGCACAAGCTCAGAGCTACATCTGGTTCTTAACATGCTCTTTTTTTTTTTTTTTTTTTTGAGACAAGCTCTTACTGTGTGGTTCAGGCTGGCCTGGAATCACTTGTTTATTTATTTATTTATTTATTTAAGAGAGAGAGAGAGAGAGAGTGTGGTGTGTGTGTGTGGCCAGCTCAGCTCACCAGGGGGCGGGGCTGGCTGGCATGTGGTGTTGGGGGATTGAACCGCGGTCCCTGATGCTTTGCTAAGCTTGTTCTAAGTAGGTGCTTTCGACCACTGAGCCATCCCTCCAGCCCCTGGAATCACTTGTAATGAAGGTTGGCCTTAAGATCATAGTGATCCTCCTAACTTGGCGTCCTAAGTGTGAGGATATAGGCGTGTACCATTACATCTGGCTCTTAGGTGTCTTTTTAATCATTTGTAATTTGGAATAGTTTCTTAGCCTTTCTTTGTCTTTGAGACATGCTCTCACCAAGTAGTTTAGGTTGTCCTCAAACTTAAGGTGATCCTCCTTAAGGATATACCACCATACCTGGCTTGTACATTGACTTTTTAAAAAAATGTATCAAAAAAAGCTAAAATTTCGTAACCAAATAACAGGAGAATAGCACTAGGTCATGAGGCTCTAGGGACATCCAGATATAAACCAGTAAGAACTAGACTGGTTGGTATCTCGTTTACTGACCTCTGCTGATGTACTTCTTCCTGCTTACAGCTTACTCTTCTGTATAGCATAAAGACATGCTTGCTGTCTTCCTGATTGGAAACTTCCTTATAATATTTGGAATTTTATTCCTTTCAGCCATTTGTCATGCTATGTAAACAATTAAAAGCTTAAATATCTTAATATTCATTTATGTATCACAACCAAGATTGCCTCAATACTAGAACCAGTCTGTTGATTACTTTAAAAATCATAAACCCACAAAAGTCTGTCAATTTTAGATGTCTTAATATTTTTTGTTGGCCATGCTGACATATGCTTGTAATTCTAGCCCTCAGGAGGCTGGGGCAGGAGGATTACTGAGTTTAAGGCTAGCCTGGATTCCAAAGTGAAACCCTGTCTCAAAAAAACCAAAAAAAGAAAAAAAAATTTTTTCATAGTTTATAATTCTGCAGAATGATGTCACCAGGGCTGGTGAGATGGCTCAGTGGTCTAAAGCACCTACTTAGAACAAACTTAGCAAAGCACAGGGACCACAGTTCAATCCCCCAGCACCACATGCCAGCCGGCCCCGCCCCCTGGTGGGCTGAGCTGGCCACACACACACACACACACACAAATATAAATAAGTAGAAAAAAAAAAAAAGGATGTCACCTATAACATAAAAAAAATTTCTCTTTAGAGATAACTGACTTTTGTTTTTCCTTTTAAATTTCTATTTTTCTGACTTATTACAGTTTTCATTGGAAACATTGCTCGTTTCGTGTTCACCCTGCCTCTTACCTTACTTTGACAGCAGAATCAAGTTTCAGTCTTCTACAAACCTCCCTGAGGGTGACACCTGATATTTATGTTGCCAGGCCCCTGTGTGAACTGTTTTCTTTCCTAAATAAACATGCCAAACTACTAAAATATATAAAATGGAAAATAAATATATTTGGAATACTTGCAGAGAATTTTCCACTTCTCAGAAGCCACCATTGGTTTTTTTGTTTTGTTTTGTTTTTGAGACAAGGTCTTATTCTACAGCTCGGGCTGATCTTGAGTTCACTTTGTAGCCCAGGCTGGTCTTGAACTTGCAATAATCTTCCTGTCTCAGCCTCCTGAGTGATTGAATTATAGGTATGCGCCACCACACCTAGCCTACCACCATTGTTAATAGTAAAAGCACACTCAAAGAAAAAAAGGAAAAGAAAAATGAGGGCCAGGGATGTGGCTCAGTATTAACACTTGCCTAGTAGGCCAGCAGTGCCAAAACAAAACAAACTTCTGTTTTGTATAATGAATAAACTTGCAAGTCAAATTTCCTCAAGAAAGTAAAAGAAGTGTCTGGATAGATACAGAAAACACATACCTCCATGGCTTTCTGTGTTTGTTTTATGGCCCTGGGGATTGAGGTAGTACATGCTGAGCAACAGTATATTCTTTAGATGAACACATAGGAGATTCTTGATTTTAGAACAGTATGATCAACTGTAGGGCACTTCTGGGTATTTTTGAGGGCTTGTTTTTTTTTCCTTCTACTTTGCTATTTGCTCCATAGTTGCAACCAATTTAAAGTAGTGGTTTTTTTGTTTTTGTTTTTTTTCCCATTGCTACTAATATTATTTTTGTTTCTTACAGTTGGGAATGGAGGAAGAAGATGTGATTGAAGTTTATCAGGAACAAACAGGGGGTCATTCAACGATTTAGATATTCTTTTTATTCTTTTTCTTTTCCCTCAATCCTTTTTTATTTTTAAAAAATAGTTCTTTTGTAATGTGGTGTTCAAAATGGAAATGAAAACTGGCATCCCATCTCTTTAAAACATCCAGTAATTTGAATTCTAGTGCTCATTATTCATTGTTTTCGTCGTGCTGATTTTTTGGTGATCAAACCTCAGTTTTCTTCACATTGTCTTCTGCATTTTAAAAATTACATGTGTGCACAGAGAGGCTGCAGATTTCAGGACTGTGCATTTTCAGGCTTGTGATCGTAAGGTCGACCCGTGCGATTGTTCCTGGTGGCCCTGAAGTTCGTGGCTTTTCAGGTGGCCCTGAAGTTCAAGCTTGTGATTGCTTCACTCCTGGACTATAACTTTCAGTGGGAGGTAGAAGTTTTTCAGAGAACTGAACTGTGGAAAAATGACCTTTCCTTAACTTAAAGCTTAAAATCTGAGGGTCTGGACCAAAAAGAAGAGAAACATGAGCTTTCATGTCCAGATAATAGACATGGTGAGAGATTGATCAACTCCAAGGGTAGCTTCACTGAAGAGAAAGCAGTTTTAAGATTTAAAAAAATCTTGTCAGAAGATCCCAGAAAAGTTAATTTTCATTCAAAATTAATAAAGTTACTCACGCAGATGTATGTATAATAGAACACTGCTCCTTTTGATTTTGTTTGTACTTTCTGGCCTGGGATATGGGTTTTAAATGGACATGTGTGTACCAGCTTCATTAAAATAAACAATATTTGTAAAAACTGTATTAATGTTTATTTTATTTTCATTGTATAGAAAGAAAGAAAAATTCCTAAAATAAGGTTTTCTAAGCATAATACTGGAAATTATTGGGCATGGAGTATTTCTTCAGTACTGTACAGTGGTTAGGTATGGTGGCACATACCTGTAATCTCAGCACTCAAGAGGCTTGAGTTAGGTGGATTGCTACAAGTTTGTGGCCAGCTTGAACTATATATAGCAAGACCCTGTTAAAAAATAATTATAAAATGTTTTCTGCTTGAATTTGGTATAGTTTATATTTTCTTATTTAATCCTTAAACATTGTGTATAATTAAAAAATATCATATTAGCTTTTTCCTTTCAGAGGGTTTTTCTTTTTTTCTTTTTTGCTCCGAATGCCTTCAGGGCAGGTTTGGCTGGCTTGAGTTGTGGGGATCGAACCACAGCAACCTGAGCCTGACTGCTTTGTTGAAGCAGCCACTTAAAGAGCTGAGCTAAAGGGCAGGCCCCCTCAGAGGGTTTTTCTATTTGACTCTTTCATAAATCTCTGAGTTCAGTAAACTTGTGCATATTTGTGACGTGACCCATTTTCATGTTGCCTAGATAGTGTCCATTTGACTACTTGTGAAGAACAAAGAACACCTGTCTCAGGTATGTTCATAAATTCACAGCTTTTGTACCCTACTCTGGTCATTTGCTGAAAAGCACACTGGCAGGTTCTTATCAAGTATGACTCAGAAATTATTTGTATGTATAAATCAGAACTTGTTTTATTTTTTTGGGGGATTTGGGATTGACTCTAGGGTCTCAATTGTGGTAGGCACACATTCTGCCACGTGAATTAAAAGTGTCTGGACTATCACATGACACCAGTGTATGCTTCAATGACTAGGAATTAGGCCCAGCTTTAGAGAATCCTTATGGATTTTTAGAAAATCCTTATATTTATCAGTATGGAATTCAATAAAACATTGGCTATTGGAGCTATCCAGTGTTCATGAACATGTTAATTTTGCATTTCTAAGTATCTGAAGGCTAAGCATATGGGTGGGAGAACTTAGCTGCTAGAGGTGTAATTTTCTTGTTTTTAGCTCTGGATTCTTCTAACTGCATTGCACTCTGCTGTAGTTAACTTACAAATTGTACTCATCTGGTTGGTTGAAGTGGTGAATGTCTGAGGCAGGTGGATTACCAAGAGTGCAAGGCCAGTTTAGAGTGCATGGCCAGCTTTCATCTCAGAAATATCTGTTGGGTGTAACAGTGCTGATGAGATGGGTGCCTCACAGCAAAAAATTCATAGAGCAGTAAAATTTTTAAATTATTTATTTGGTACAGGGTCTCGCTACATAGCTTGGATTTGTAGTGATTTTCGTGTCTCAGCCTACCCAACACTGGTATTACAGGCATGCGTTACCATGCCCGGCTTTGATGGCCAGCACAGCATGTGGTACTGGGGATCAAACCTGGGTCCTTGCACTTGCCAGGCAGATTCTTAGACCACTGAGCCATCTCCCCAGCCCCATAGAGCATTAATTTGAAAAAACCTTAAGGAACATTTAATGCAGCCATCTTATCTGGTGCTTGACCTTAACATCATAAATCTGTAAAAGAAGGGAAGAAAGAGTAATAGTCATTTATTTCACAGGGATCTTTTCTTTAAGGGTTCATTCTTTTCTTGGTGAATTACTTAAGATGTTCTTATCTGATTATTTTGTGTGAATTGAATGAATGAATGAATGAACGTTGTAGGACCAAGAAGCCTGAGAAAAATCCGGGTGACATTGAAATTCACTGATAACCAGTGTGTTGGCTGTTTTATTTATATTTTACATAAAGCATCAAATTTAAGTCTAATAGCAATATAGAATACAAATGAATTTCCTGGATTGTAGAGGTACAAGTCCTACATAAACAAATACCTCATAAGCATTCATGAGAAATTGGAGGGAATTATATGTAAGTATTCTTCCATTGTGGACAGTGGAATATAGAGTAGGGCCAAGGGAGATTTGTGGGAAAATTTAAGTTCAGATGGTTGCTCAGTTCAACACCTCTATATATACATCTTGTTTCTCCTCCATCTGCTTTAATGATTATTCTTTGGTACTTTGTTACAAGGGATATTTTATTCAGTATTAAAGTGCCCAGCACTTGGAAGGCTGAGGCAAGAGGCTTGCAGTGAATTCAAGGCCAGCCTGAACTATAGACCAAGATCTTATCTCAAAAAAAGCAATCTAGGGCTGGCCAGATAGCTCAGCAGATTAAAGTGCCTGCTTAGGCAGATGCAGTGGCTGGGATTCAATCCCTGGGGTGCTTGGGAGGCTGAAGAACAGGAAGGATCACTACAAGTCTAATCTATGTAGTGAGTGCTGGTAGACCCTATACTAAATACTTATTTTAAAAAAAATTTTATTTGTGTGTGTGTGTTGCCAGCTCAGCCCACCAGGGGGCGGGGCTGGATTGAACCGCGGTCCCTGTGCTTTGCTAAGCTTGTTCTAAGTAGGTGCTTTAGACCACTGAGCCATCTCACCAGCCCTACTAAATACACTTAAAAACAATCTAAATGATTAATGACATTAAAAATAAGGCATAGTGTCTGTGACTAGAAAGTTTTGGTGGATTCTTAAAGGGATAATTAGCAAAATCTCAAAAGTTAATTTCCAGGGTTTGAAAACATTGGTGGAACTTTGTATGATGGTAGAAATTTTTATATCTCTGCTGGCAGATGTGGCCTTTGAGCCCTTTATATATGCTCAGTGGGATTGAAGAGTTTTTTATTAAATAGCTGCACATAGGCTGATGGCTCTTTTGCCCACAGTGCCGTTCTAGAATCTGTATTGTGAGGATGTGAGATTGCCTTATAAAACAGTTCATTTTGTGCAAAAGAACATTTATCAAGTACTTAAAATACCTTTTCCTAAATAGGCATTTAATTTTAGACTCAGGATGAGTTGTCTGGTTTTGCCTTATAAACAGATTTTCTGTGTGTTTGTGTGTGTGTGAGACAGGGTCTCATTAAGTAGCCCAAGTTGGCCTGAAACTTTGTATCTGCCAGTGTCAGTCTCCCAAGTGCTGGGATTACAGGTGTGTACTACCATGCCCAGCCTGAAGGGATTTCTTAATATATGAAAATAAGAATTGACTTCTCTTAGCTAATGTAGAATTAATTTGCATTACAGAATTTCCATTTACCTGCCACTCTTTCAAACACATTGAAATGAAATACATTGTGTATGTTGACTATGTTAGTGTTTCAGACTGAAATTATGTAATTATGGGCTGCTATAGGCACCAAAGTTTCTGGATTTATATGGTTTTAAAGAACATAAAAGATTTAAATAGGTGAAGAGTTTAATTGGATTGAACAGATGTGGAGGAGGCAGTGGTAATGGCAGTTCCAGAGTAGAGAAAATCTTAGGTGTGCCTTGATGTGAACCATATGACACAAAACTAACTAGCCTCAGTGGAATTTCATTATGAAAGGGAATTTCTCTGTGTCACTGTGCTCAACTTACTTTTTGCTTTCTTCCAAGAACGTCATGGCCTGTACATTTTTAGGAACTGGAAATAAGAATAGACCCATGGTCTGGAAATATTCTGTGTCCACTGCAGACCATGGGCTTCCTTGTGGAGTTCTTGATGGAAACGAAGATGCTTCTCCAAAGCAGCTTTTTGCCTAAGAAGACAACCCCACCCCCAGTTTCAGTGACTAAGCACTCTAGAAGTGGTGCTTGTGAATTGCTAGAGCTTTGGATTTGAATAGTCATCAGTTAGACTTGGGACAATTGATCTTGGAATTCTGTGGACCAGTTTTACATATGATGTTTAGGATATCATGAGTTTTTAGAAGAGTAGAAAGAAAAGCGTAATTCAGTTTTTAAACTTATGCCACCTTTGAGGACTCCTTTGTTTTGGAAATGAGGAAAGAGACCAGGGCAGTTAAGGTAGCTGAGCCGGTATTTGGCTCAGCGGTAAAATGCTTGCCTAGCAAGCTAGAAGTCCTGGGTTCGGTTATCAGCAACAACAACAACAACAAAAGAATAACACTGGCTGTGTTGATTCCTTGGTGGTGAGACTTTAATCCCCTCCCTTTATTACCTTGTTTTTGTTTGTTTTTTTTTTTTTTGGTTGCTTTCAGCTACTTGGACTAGTCTTACAAAATTATTCAGTTTCCCCTACGAAGACTGTTGGCTTATTGGGGAACTGGGGTTCCCATAACTTGCTTCGGTTGCATCACTGCTTCTATGAACACAACCCCACTGCTGTGATACATGGAATCCATAATTTTGAAGTGGAATCAGGATTTACCTGATTAATTTTGTAATTCAAAGAACAGCTCAAGGTTGGTAAAAAATCCTTAAAATAGGTAGTTGGGGGCCAGGGAGATGGCTCAGTAGAATAAGCGCTTCCCTGGCAAGCGCAGGGATAAAAAAATAATTTAAAAAAAACCCTTATTTTTATTTTATTGGAGTCTTCCTAGAATGTAGGTATCACTGGGAAAAGAGACCTTGTGTGCCTGGCTCACTTCTAAGTTCCTCAAGTCCAGATCAATAGGTACTTGGTAAACATTGAGGAAGACCATAAGTTCAGAGTTGAGGGTCTTAGATCTGGTCCTGGCATTGCCCCCGACTGATAGATCAGCCCTGACCAACATCTTTCCTTTCTTTGGCGGTGGTGGGGGTCCCTTTCTGTCTCTATCCTGCAGATGGAACGCAGGGTCTTGCACTGAGTTACATTCCCATCCCTGGGACTCTTCTCACCTGTAAACCAGGGGCTTGCTTATCTGCAAACCAGAAGATTAAGGTAAGTGGTCTCCCAGCTATAGTATAAGTTCAAACCAGGAGGGAATTATGTGATATTTGCTGTCAAAGAATTACTCTTGCGAAAGCGCAAGATCCTGAGTTCAATCTCCTGTACTAAAAACAACAACAAACAGGCTTGTGTTTAGTCTTCCCAACTACTATATGCCTTGGAGGGGAGCATGGGAAAAGTGCTTGTTCAAAGGCCTTTGCAGCGACTGCCCACATAGATGATACCTGGCTTGCTCCTGGGCTTGTTTCATGGCGTCTTCCAGGGCCAGCCTGGCTGCTTTCTCTTCCTGTGACCTCCTCTCCTCAGCCTCCAGCAGAGCCTTCTCTTCTGCCTCCTGTCTCTGCCGCTGGTACTCTAGTCGTTCCTCCTCCGCCATTTCCATCAGACGTTTGTGTTCCTCTGCTAACTGCATTTCTAATTCCTTCTGCCTTTGCTTCTCTGCTTCTGCAGGATTGAGTGGCAAAAGGGACAAGGGACAAGGATTGGGGGGCAAGGGACATTGCTAGAGAAATTCATATTTTGATCCAGCTCTCAAACCTTTGATTCTTGAGGACTCTGAGAAATTCTGCAGTTTACGGGCTGCCAGACCCTCTGTGGAGGTTACTTGGGGTTAATGTACTAGTCTGAGTCTTTTATCAAGCACTTTCTTTATGCAGTGCACTGTGAAATTAATACAAAGCCCAGGAAAGATTTCCCCAGAGCCTGCTGCCTGTGTTCACTGCATATATTTGTCTGTTTGTGGGGTGTAATTCAGTGGGACTGGAGAAGAGGTCAGATCAGGGTGAGAGAAACTTGCTGTGTTTTAACCAAGAAGTGGCCACATGTCATCCACTAAAGTCCCCATCTCTTTCTAGAAAGCTGCTCAGCATTCCTGCAGGGGTTTGTATCTGTTTCTGGTTCCTGGAGTAGGAAGTAAGGAGCAGGGCAATATTTCCAAGTTCCTTAACTCCTGGGCCATGCAGGAAGTCAGGGAGGGGCCAGGTCCATCAGATTAACAATGAGGAGCAGGACCCTGGCGCTGCCTCTATAGGGAGTCTTTCAGATTTTGATACTGAGGTCAGCTAGCTTACTTTAGTCACACATAATGATCACTTTGGAAAATGTGCCTTATGTTCAGAGTGCGTTATGTACTTGTGCCTAGGCTAGGAACATGAGAACACCCTCAGAGGGATAAAAACGTTTCTGCCTTAAGTAGATGAACAATGCAGAGAGCCAAGGACCCTTCCTCACCAGCCCTCTCGGCTTCCTCCTGCTGTTTTTTCCTCTGTCCTTCTTTCAGTGTCCTGCGGAGCTCCTCTTGCTGCTGCCGGGCTCTCTCTTGGGCTGCTTGCCACTGAAGCCGCTGCTTCCTCTCTGCTGCCTCCTGCTGCTGCTGTTCTTCTTCAAGTCTCTGTTTCCTTAAGCTGGGAAGGCATGAATGAGACGGTCATGGGAATGGCAGCGAAGCCTGGACAAGTCAGCGGGTAGTGTGTCCTGTCCAGAGGGGACACGGCATTGCTAAGAAAGCTGAGACAGAGAGCAGAGGAAAGAGCACAAGCTCTAGAACAGGAAGCTATGAGATTTCAGTATGCAGCGCCAGGCCTGGGGAGGCCTGACATCTCAGAGCTTCACTGTCTGAGAGGATGCTCAAATGCCTGTTGTGGCAAAAGAGTCAAGACCTCAGAAGCCTGCTGCTGTGCACGGTGGCAGGGGTGCAGCAGATGTGGTGGGCCCACTCGCAAGCCTTCCCCAGAACTGCCCGGGTGCGTGTGTCCTGGGGAACTGGGAGTGAGGGAAGCGAGGCAGGAGGCTTTCCTTGGGCGCACAGTGTCCGCGGTGCCCCTGGCTGTTCCTGTTGCCCCCTGCTGTCTGTGGACCTACCGCATCTCCTCAAGGCACCTCTGCTGCGCCAGCTGCAGCTCCTCCTCGATCTTCTCCATCTCTAGCTGCTCCTGCTGGCGGCGGCTCTGCTCCTCCTGCTCCCTCCTCTTCTTCTCCACCTCCAGCAGCCTCATCTCTGCCCTCTGGGTACGCAGCCTGTCCCGTGCTGCCTTCTCCTGTGCCCTCTGGGTGAGGAGGGCCTGGGACACCAGAGAGTGCTCAGGGCAGGGGCAAGGTATACTGAGTACTCCTACAGCAGGTGCCAAGCTCTGCCACCACCAGTTTGTGTTGTGGGCCAGCTGCTGGATTCAGGTTATTCTCATTTGGGTTTGGGGAATCACAGCATAGTGGCTCTTACTAGGATTCACTGAAATTTAGAGTCATGGTGCCACTATAATATTTACTACATCATAAGTCCTGGAGTTCTAAACCCTATCAGGATGTTAGGTTTGCCAGAGTTCCACCAGGATAAGTAAAATGAAAACCTCTATGTAGGTGGTCTCCTTTTTTTTTTTTTTTTTAAGCTTCTAGCTGGGCAGGTGGAACATGCTTGTATTTCCAGTTGCTGGGGAAGCGGAGGCAGATTAACATGTCTGAGACCAGGTTGGGCAACTTAGTGAAACCCTGTCTCAAAATTAAAAAGGCTAAGTATGTAGTTCAATGGTAGAGTACCTGGCTAACATGTAAAGACCTTGGGTTCAATTCCCTGTATCACAAAAACAAAACGAGGGGCCAGGGAGATAGCTCAGTAGAATAAGCACTTCCCTGGTAAGCGCAAGGGCCTGAGTTCAATCCCTGGTCCCGCCAAAACAAAACAAACAAAAACCAAACAAAAATAGAAAAGGAGGAAAAGAAAGAGTTCCTAAAAATAAAGTTGGAATGAGAGCTGGAAGCTAAGGCCTAGATAGGTACTGTTTGACCAAATCTCTCTCTCTCTCTCTCTCTCTCTCTCTCTCTCTCTCTCTCTCTCTCTCTCCTTTTGTTGAGACAGGGTCTCGGCACATAGCTCAGGTTGGCCTTGACCTCACAGTTCTTCTTGCCTCAGCTTCCTAAAGGCTGGAATTACATGAGTGTACCACCAAGCCTGGGTAACAAAAATTTTTCTTTTAGTGCGTATGATGG